TATCTAAATTGTCTGAATATCTTACATCAAACCGGATCCTTTTTATTAATTTTTGTTTTTCATATTTTGTAATTCGAGAGGTACGATGTTCCATCCAGACCTTTCTCAATGTATCCCTTTGTGTACTCTGGCACTGTGAACTCTCTGTATTTTGGAGGGTTTTCTTCGGACAAAAGCTCTTTGATTGGTCCGTAAAGTGTTGAATTCGGATTCATACTCGAGCTGAAAAAACTCGCGACTGAAATCCTCGGTCCAGCTTTGTTCGCAAGCACCCTATGCTCCACGCTTATGAACTTATCGTTCGTCATCAGCTACACAAAACCAAAACCTCTGTTTTATATGATCAATGTCTCTTATACATTAAGTGAAAAGGTAAGGATCAATGAGCTTTACCTGCAAGAAATCTCCTATGTTGATAACAAGAGCCCCGGGAATAGGCGATACATCGACCCAACAGTCTTGATGAAGAACTTGAAGACCACCGATTTGATCTTGAAGAAGAATGGTGATAAAGGTATTGTCGGAATGCTTACTTGTACCTAAAGTTAGGTCAGGTTGTGGACAAGGAGGGTAATAATGGCAGATTATATGCAAACCCTTCATGCAATCCAAACTCTTAAGCTTCTCAGAACTCAAACCAAGAGCTTCTGAGAGAAGCTCAAAGAGCAAACCACCTAAGCTCATCACATGCTTCGTGTATTCGAACATAGCATCCCTAAGTCAATGAATCAATACATCYTCATCAGTATGGTTTCTTATAAGATTACTGAAGAGAAGAACGAAATTATTACCTGCAAGCCACTGGGAGGTCCTCAGGGTTTGGAGGATAAGGAGCCATGTAACCAGCGAACGAGTCTCTCCAGTTACCATTTTTCGAACTATACAGTTCGAAATTATTGTGGTAAATAAACTTTTCGCTAAAGTCGCGCGAAAAGTAAGATTTCTTTACCTCAGGATCTTCATCATGAAACCTAACAACTCCATCTTTCGTTTCTTCAAGAACACTTAAAGGAACACCATGATTAATCACCTGGAAAATCCCCCACTTCTCTGCAGCTTCTTTGATCTTCTCCACGACGCTTTCACGCGACAATGCGTCCACGTGGAGGCTTGCAAAGTCGATGATAGGGATCGAGAAGCCTGAGGCAGAAACAGAAGGTTTCTTGTCGTCTAAGGTAACTGGAGGAAGACCAAAGATAGGAGGAACCTCAGTGATCTGAGCTTCAACGAGGTCTTCCACTGTCGTTTTCTTTTCCTCCAAGGACTTGCTGCACTCAAGTTCGATTGAGTTTTTGGCCACCATTTTTTGTTTTTGTATTCCAAGATTTCTCACAGAATAGGCAAATGCCTTGGGCAAATTAAATAGTGCTCAAGGCACAATTAAATAGGCAAATGCCTTGGGCCCCACTTTATAAATGTAATTTAAGGACCTCTAATTTTTATATTTACTTAGCTACATGTTTATTTATCTTTTTAGTAAAAATGTCTTCTTATCTTAATTTTGATTCTTAGAAATAAATAATTCTCAATAAACATATTTGTATTTTGTATCTTAGTATTCAATTTACAATTACAGTTAATATATTTTACTATTAAATATTTATGATTTATTTTCATCAAGTGAAGTGTTTTGACTCCAGTACCAAAAATC